CAGGGGGCGAATGCTATCTTTTTCAAAGATGAGGAACAGTACATGTCTGTTTGGAGAAAACGACCCCTCAGCCAAAAACTCGCGATTTGGTCAGATTTCATCAACTAATAAGCCAAAACTCTTGCATATAAATGTAGAGCACTGGCTTAGGATCGTTTTGGTTCAAATAGTTTAGAAAATAAGTAAATATTGAGAGAGAAATCTGAGTTTGAAGTTCGAGTTGAAAATCTCGGTTTTTCACCGATTTTAGGTGAGATTCTTAACCAAATCTCATGGTTTTTATGTCTATGGCTTCATTTTTAAGTACTCTATTAAACCCCAGTAACCTCATATCTCATATTTGGTTTTAGATGGTTCGATTTTATGTCGTTGAGTTTTAGTTATAAAAACAAAAGTTTAAATGAGAAAATGGAACTTATTTCTTGACGAAAATATATGTTATTTACCAAGGTTTTTGTGTAAAAAGAAAGAATATCAAGAAATGAACCATTTTCGAATTTAAAATTCTAAAAATCGTGCAGCCATGGCTGCTCGTGCGATCAGGTCGGGAGACAGGTCAGACGAACCTGATCCACATCTATAAAAAGAATAGGGTTAACGGCAATGAGGACGGGATTTGAACCCGCGACCTCAATTTGGAGGCAACAATGCGTTGACCAATGAGTTAACCATGAGTTTTGTTACCTTTATGCACTAAGCATTTAAGTTAGAGAAATTAGCATTTAACCTCCTGAATTTCCAAAAATTAATTTTCTCCATAATAACTTTATGAGACTTTCATCAAGTTTATTTGTATTTTGTAAAATGCAAACTTTGATCAAATTTCGATGATTTATCTCGTTTAGTTACCAAAATCTATAACTAGGAAATCGGTATTTTAGCAATATTTTACGTATTTACTTTATAAATTACCGAAATGACCCTGTATCTTGGGATTTGGTATCTAAGTGTTATTTTGAATATAATCCCTATGAAATTACCAAAATGAACCTACAATTTGGAAATCGGTATTTTAGCGATATTTTACGTATTTACTTTATAAATTACTGAAATGACCCTATGTCTTGGGATTGGTATCTAAGTTTTATTTTGAATATAATCTTTATAAAATTACCGAAATGACCCTATGTCTTGGGATTTGGTATCTAAGTGTTATTTTAAATATAATCCCTATAAAATTACCAAAATGACCCTATAACTTGGAAATCAGTATTTTAACGATACTTTACGTATTTGTTTTATAAATTACCGAAATGACCCTATGTCTTAGGACTGGTATCTAAGTTTTATTTTGATTATAATCTTTATAAAATTACCGAAATGACCCTATGTCTTGGGATTTGGTATCTAAGTATTATTTTAAATATAATCCCTATGAAATTACCAAAAATGGTCCTACAACTTGGAAATCGGTATTTTAGCGATATTTTACGTATTTGCTTTATAACTTACCGAAATGACCTTATGTCTTAGGATTGATATCTAAGTTTTATTTTGAATATAATCTTTATAAAATTACCGAAATGACCCTATGTCTTGGGATTTGTTATCTAAGTGTTATTTTGAATATAATCCTTATGAAATTACCAAAATGACCCTACAACTTGGAAATCGGTATTTTAGCGATACTTTACGTATTTGCTTTATAAATTACTGAAATGACCCTATGTCATGGAATTGGTATCTAAGTTTTATTTTGAATATAATCCTTATGAAATTACCAAAATGACCCTACAACCTGGAAATCGGTATTTTAGCGATACTTTACGTATTTGCCTTATAAATTACCGAAATGACCCTATATCTTGGGAATTGGTATCTATGCTTTATTTTGATTGTTATCCCTATGAAATTACCAAAATGACCTCACAATTAGGGAATCGGTATTTTAACAATACTTTAAGTATTGCTTAATAAGATTACCAAAATGCCCATACGATTTGGGATTGGACTTTTAAGCACAATTTTAATCTTCGACTTATGATATGTTCCAAGAATGTTCTAAATTAGGGAATTGATTAAAGATATACCTTTGGTATTCGACTTCTTAAGATTGCCGAAATGCCCTAGACTTGGAAAATTGATATTCTAAACATTATTTCGAGTTTTAATTATGTTGAACTTTAAAGTTATGGAATGACCATTATTTATATCTGTGTGACATGTTGTCACCATTATTCACTTACAAATCTCAAACGAGACGTTTTGGCCATAAAACATCATTTACCTTGCAAACTATTTGGTTTAGTTATTTTGGTAAAATACTTATTGTTCAAGAAAATGTGAAATGTATTGCACATTTTTATAAAATTGTACGATCAACAATTAATATTATAACGACGTCACATTATTAATAAATATTTCAAGAAAATATTTGAGCGAAACATGAGATATGAGGTATCGGGAGTTGATCAATAAAAAAATGTTAAGAAAAGTCGTGTTAAGATTGTTATAAAATAGTAATCAATTTAATTACGATTATTTAATATACTTAGGAATGATATAAATTATCATCTAGGTTGCGGTTTTTGAGAGAACGACCTATCAAACGTTAACGATTCAAGGTGAGTACATTATGCGATTTTTATGGGATATATACATGATTATTACAAAGTATATCATCCATGATATTTGCATAATGTGGTTATATGCATATGATGATAACTTGATTGTATTGATGTACATGGTATTTAAGTATACGCATGATATGAAATATGATGTTAAAAGATTATGATGACTTGATATTATCAATATGATATTCAAGTATGTGTATAATGTGAAAAATGACGATGATGCATATGTGATTTATGTTGTCACTTGCATGAGATGTATGTTGCACGTCATGATGAGATTTGCATTAATAAGTTAGTATTGCAAATAAATTATATGTAACTAGTATGATTCGGCAAAATTCGTCCACCGTACGGGGTGAGTTGGACATGAAAATAGGGCTTGCAATTCCAAGGTCTTGGAGTTCTCGTCCATAGAATACGCCACATAAATAAAGAAAAATGACGAGCCGAGACCTCACTTGCAAGATAATAACTAAAATACACTAAAACACTGTTTATGTGTGCATGTGATCATGAAACCATATTATATTCACTAAGCTTTTAACTTATACTATACATGTATATATCTTAGGTATTAACTGTCAGTAGAGTTGATTGAAGAAAGACGAAACTATGTTTTGAATCATGTTTGATTAGATATTTAATTAGCATTGATTACATTAAAGTATTTTACGTTTCCGCAATTATGTAACCAATTATGTTTAACACATTATGTATGTTTGAATTTTTAAGTTTGTATTTTGTTCATGACGTAAGTTATTAAGAATGACGTCACGACAATCGAACGAAATAAAAAAATCGAGGCGTGACAAATATGACCAAGAAGATTCAATCACGATCTTTCACACGTATTAACATGTTACTGTGTTAAAGCACATAACCGTGTTCAAGTTAGCCATCAATTAGATATAAGTTATTCATGCATATATACCGATAAACACTAATGACGAATTTTAATTAATTACGTATTTAGTTAAATTTTATCGTATCCATCAGTAATTTAATCAAATTATTTTCTATTTTTTTAATTTGAAAAATCACTAATGGAATATATTTTATTTTTAATTATAATAAATTTAATCAGTAATCCTTTTTAAATCTTTTTTTAATTTTTTGAATTTGAGAAATTATATATAAAATAAATTTTATTTTTAATTAAAATAAATTTAATCAATAATCCTTTCTAAATCTTGTTTTATTTTTTTTTAATTTAGAAAATCAATGACATAATATTTTTTATTTTTAATTAAAATAAATTTTATTAATAATCTTTTTTAAATATAAGTATTTTTTTATAAAATGCAAATACTTTTTGATATATTTGTTTCATTTTATAGATGTAAGTACTTTTTTGGTTAAAAAAAATTAGATACTTAATCGTTCAAAATATAAAGTCCATTGGTTTTTTTCTCAGACTTTTATCGTTTTTTTACCACATTAACTAGTTTTGTAGGTCATAAAGATATATCTAACAGATTTTAAAAAGTTCAAGAAGTTATTTAATAGGTTTTGAAATGTCCAAGAACTTATTTGTTCCAAAAGTTTGTCAACGAACTTAATCATTTCAAACATTAAAGTCCATTGGGTTTTTTTAGACTTTTCTCTTTTCTAAAAATACATAACTTTGTGAACAAGCTTGAAAAACAAAAATAAAATTGAACATATGATATACCTTAATATAAAATATAATAATAGACTTGGGATCATGTGAGACCAATGGTTTTTAATGAGACCCGTAAGACCAATTTTCAACCATTGGATTGAATCTACAATCGTCAAATCTGAACATTCATAAACGCCACGAGACTTCTCAATAATTACAAAATTGTCACCGTGTAACTTTAGACCATTAGATCATTAGCTTATAAAATTGATCAATGAACATAAATTGGTCTTACGGGTCTCACGAAAAACCTTTGGTGTCACGTAAACCCAACCCTATAATATTAACAAATACTATAACCAAAATATCATTTTAATTCAAATAAACTTAGAATCATACAAGACATGGAACCATATTGTAACTAAAAAAAGTTTTAACATCAAATTGGTGGTATAACACTAAATTTGGTATTATATTATTTGACCAACACCAAAATGGAGAGTGATTTGGTGTAAAAACCAGATACTTTAAACCGTCGAACCTAATTCAGTTCGGTTATTGGGTAACTTGGATGGCGAACGATATAGGTCAGGCTAGTAGTATTCTGAATGATGCAATATCATACACACCCAATGTATCATTTAGATAAGGTATGATTTTAGCATCATGTATGGATTCATTTTGGAAACAGATACCAGTAAATGGTCCAGTTCCAGATTTCAGGAGGGACTGCCTAACCGAACCAAGGTTCCACCGTTAAACATTTGAGACCAAACCCAGGTCTTAAGGACCGGTTATTTTATGCAGTTATAAGGATGACATCGTCAAGAATGGTAGGGTGTGATAAAAGTAGTATAACAGCAACAACAACAACAACAAGATACTGTTACCAAATTTCACACCGATAGCTATTTAACATGCGCTTTTATATGACGGTTTCTATCTAGGTTTGAGAACTTACCTTCATTGCAAAATTAACATAGCGGTATCTCCATAAAATAGGGACAACAGATATATAAAGGACTCGGGTTTTGTAGTTCGACTCCCAACTCCTTAGCACCATCACATGATCAGTTTCTGCATTCAAGAAAACAAACCATAGTGAGTGATGATCAACATTCAACAACTATCTATAAGGAACAAAAAGTAAACCTTGTCATTTTGGGAAACCAAAGTGGAACCAACTTTGCTTTCATTCCTATACTTAAAATGACAAGTTCAGTATCATGGATTTACACTCCATTTTTAACTGCAAAGACAAATTTTCACACTCAATCCATGGCATCCAACTCCATAGTATCCAACCATGTTCAACTGCAAATACCATTTTTCACATACAATCGAATTTTGGTTGTTTACCATGTTATTCTGGTCTGTTTAAATCACTCTTGCCTTTTGGCCCTGCTCTTGGATTCTTTTGGGTCTTTTTCAGGCCCATTATGGACAGCCAACAACTTTCTTTGCTCCTCCTTCAAGGCTGTATCGACACAGAAATTAACTAAATTCTACCTTTCAAAGGGTTTGCAGCTGTTCTCCAGCTATTTTGGGCAGTTTTGGGTAGAGTTTTCAGCTATTAAATAGTGGCAGGAAGTTGTTTATCACATTACTTTTTTGCTATGTGTGCATTTTGGCTTATGTTGGTTTGTATTTAGGTTAGGACAATTCATGTTTGCATTCATTTAGTTGGGATTAGTTTTGTGCGCTGTATATTGTGCAACCATCTATACTTTAACTCTATTAATGGTCTGTGTGTTCGTTAAGTTTGGATTAGGCACGAGACGAGTTCTACGGCCGATCCTACAATATGCGTCCTTTACCAATCTTATCCCATCTCCCTATTTTTGTAGAAGGTTTTAGGGTTTTAATTTGACATGGGTAGTTTTAGTAATTCACCAAGCCTATCCTGTCTCCCTGATTTTTGGTGGGGAAAAGATGCATTTTTGTCCTACTTTGGGTCCATATACCGAACACTTACCCTTATCAGGTCATTACCTTACAGATGATCATGACAAGGACAATGGTTACCAAGTTTTTTTGCTTTGTTGCTTAGTTTTGGCGTTTGCCTTGACTTTTGTATTCTTTTGTTTTTAATATTTACCAGGAGTAATACTTTCCAAAAAAAGGAATCTCACCCGGTAAGAGCGGTGGCAAGAGAGTCTTACTTGGTATGTGTGGGAGAGACCTGTTTACCACTTACCGTGAAAATTGTAGCATACAATGTTGTTTTGATGAATTAGAATCTTACCCGATAATGTAAGCTAGAGTGTGGATTCTTACTGGTAAGCACTTACCAAGTAAGTGTTTGGGTAAACGCCCCTTAGTCTCGTCCTAATGTCAAGCCAATTGTAAGACAAGAAGTTTTAGTTCTGTCCTACATACCATACGCACCCTCATAGTTGTACCAAACACTAGACAGAAAACTAGACTAGTCCAATCCAGTCCAGTCCCGCCCACATACCAAATGCACCCTAACGGCCATAATATCTCCCACATAAAATCACCCTAGGCATGGTTTTCTTTCGATCACACACACATGCACGGATGCACCTCCTTCACATTTCCCTGTCACTTAACTTGATAATTTAAGTGTCTATCCCTAAACCTTGACATCATGTCATTTGCCATTCAAATTTCAAAGCCTTGACAACAACCACATTAACATGCACCGAAGGTGCCTAGACATCCAAAATTCTCAATGACATCACCTTCCATATCGCCAAAACTGAATGAAGGATTGAAGTTTCCACTAGTTACCTCACAAAAGAAGTAAACCGATTAGTATATGTTATGGTCCCAATACCAAGGATCAAAAGCATGTTACTTTTTGAAACAAGGATGGAATGCTACTTAATGAACTAGCATACACCTTCATCAAATTCAATCAAAAAATGATCCCCTTGGCAAGAGTAAAGTCTCTATATATTTCATTGGTGAGATATTAGCACCATAATGCTCAATAAATGTAAGTAGCTAAATGTAGAAAAATTGATAGCTTAGATAAATATTCACATTATTGTGAAACTACATGGGGTGAATGGTTTGAGCAAGGTTAGTAATGTGTGACGAATAGGTCACATTTCTCTATATATTTCATGCTTGAGATATTAGCACCATAAGGTTTAATATGTAAGCAGGTAAAGTAGTCCAAGCGAAAATTAGCTTACAAAATATTCATATGATTCCGGAAACTACTATTTCAGAAACTTTGTTATGCCTTTTTGGGCGACCTTTCTTTTTGCACACACTTTTTGCAAGCCTTGGGTTTTCATGGAGACAACTGCTCTACAATCTGGAGTAGGGATCTCACCCTCCCAAACCCCACTGCCGAGTGGGCTATATTGGGCTCATTTGGTTTGGTTCATTAGTGGTGAGCCTGAAGGTCATTGGTTTGACTCAGAGAAGAATATTTTTGCAAAATGCAAGGCAAGGATAAGAAGAAAGACTCCCCCCCCCCCCCCCCCCTCCCCGGGGCGATCCCTTTGAAGTTTAGGAACCTTGGTGGGTCAGTGTTCATTTTAGTTGGGAATCATACCTCGTGTTTATATGCAAGGGAAAGTACATGAAGGAGAAATATGTCCCCAATCCTCGAGACAGTTGAGTTACCATGGTGGACCAAGTTTCATTTAGTTGGTAAATGGTACATTCTGTTTATAAGGAAAGACATATGGAGTATAAATTTCACCATACCCTTCAAAAAGTTGAGGAACCTATTTTAGTTCAACACGTATACTGAGTCTATGATGAACCGTAGCTAAAGGAGCAATTTTAGCTAGCCTATATATAGGACCAAAAAATTCTTCCATTCTACGTTACACAATATGAACTCCCAATCCCAATTTATAAGCTTCGACAAGAAAATTTACTAAATTTAGAGCCAGTCACTTTTGTACATATCTAATTAGACTTCTTAGTGCTGTAGCAAAATTTTCTTTTATTACAGTGGAGGGAGGGGAGACAGAGACTCATAAGATTTCATGATATTCATATAGTTTTTTACAATCTCATGCTCTTAATGTGCCATTTCAAATCATAATGCAGTTTACAATTTCAAATTTACAAATCAAAAACAGATTATGAACAAAAACTGTTTGTAGAAAAGTTCCATCATCTCTTAGAAAACGGAAAACTTATAAGTAAATTTATCTGGAAGATGGCAGGGGAAGTGAAGATCACGGCCACTTGGGCCATCTCTTAGTTGTTTACATCCACTTGGGACAAATTCTTGCTCAATTGGATCCGCTTAGTAACTAATTGTATGGCCCAAAACAATGATGAAAAATGGGTTGTTCCGACTGTTTTATACTCCCTCCGTCCCAAAATAAATGTCCACAATGAAAATTAGACAGTTTTAGGATGAGTAACTATTACACTTTTTAATTAAATAAATGACAATTTTACTCTTAATAATAGAGAGAGAAATTACCTATCAGAGCTTGAAAACAACTCAAGTATTCCACAGCAACCCTTCCAGGAAGTCGTTTGCGCTGCTCGTGGAGCTGAAGCTACGAGAGGCTGCAGATGGTTTTAGAAATATGAAACTTATGTAGTCAGCATGTTCAATGAATCATCTTAAAATTACTAATTGAAAGAATATTAAAGCAAACATTTGACCAGCTCAATCAAAGTAAAAGGATAAGCTATTTGATAAACTAAACATATTCAGTAAAACTAGATAGTAAGTTATACGACAATGTAAAATGACCTATAAAAAACACGTGGAAAATTAATTGGAAAAATATAAGGGGCATAATTGGAAAAAAGTGGAAAAGCCCCACAAAGCTTATTGAATCACAGCTAGCTTATAGCTAACCAAATGGGGTTTTTAATAAGCTCAAAAAATAAGCTAGCTTATGGTCGCCAAACATGGCCTTTGTATTTAATCGACTAAAAAGAATAGTTTTATATATCACAAGCAGGAATGCAGAATATAAAGAAACTGAAAGGGCCTACCTGTTTATCAGAGTATTGCGATGTCTCAGGTTCAGAAATGGAACCCATTGGATGGGTAGAAACTGCTACATCATCATCTCTTGCTTCTAAAGATGCATTCTCCTCCGGTGAAGGCGATTTTGCTGTCCCATTTTCTACCACAGCCGACTCACCTACTTCAGAAGAAGTCGAACAATTATCCTTTAAAGCACTCCCATTAACAACTAACATCTGTTCCGAAAATAAACTCTTAGGAACCAACTTCTCAATCTGTGTACAATCATTTGCATGAGATTCTGCTTCTAACAGAGAATCAACAGGCTTAACTGGATGAAGAACAGAGGAAGTCTCCACACCCGAATCTTTAACTTCGTGAGCGATCTTTTTGGGAAATGATTCAATAGAATGAACTGATTCCGCAACTGGGGCGGACTCAAGTTCCACTACTTTCTTTTCAGATACATGAGACTCATCATCTACACTGCTACTGATGGAACTGGAGCTGCTATTTTGTGATTTGCTCAACTTTGACCCTTTATCAATCTCAGTACTACCCTCTTCCTCCTTTCCAGCCTTTTCAGTGCTCTCAACTGTTACAGATTGGTTCTGATACAAACCTGCTTCATTCTTCTCCACCGCTACCACCTCTCCCTCGGTAAATGGAACTTGATGGTTATGCTGATCTTGTGCAGCTGGAGAGCAAAGTTCCCCACCATCACTCTCTCCTATCATAGTTTGATCCATTCAAAGAAAGCTATTTAAAGTCAATAAATTGATATATAAACAACACTCACAGAAATTGATCTAAGGATCTATTGGTTTTAGATTTCTACTCCAAAAGGGACAAACTAGGTAAATTGAACTGCAAACCCGCTAAAAAATTCAAATACCCAATTCAAAAAAGTAAAAAGGAATCGGTGGGGTGTGCTTGTGGAACAATTCAAAAGTGCATAAAGCTTAAAATCAGAGATCAATAAGAGGTAATCCCTTTGTATACTGTGGGTTTCAAATGAAATCAGCATACACCAGTATATATACAAACAAATAGCCGACAAACAGATGTGTAAAGACTACTCTTCAATTACTAATTTACTATATCAAACTTAAGAGAAACTGTCCCAAATGCACAAGGCATATAACTGAGAAAACGATATAAAGATGGAAGGACAAATGGGTATGACGTGAATTGGCCCAAAAAAAGGAAGAAGATAAAGAGAGAGAACCATGATGAGAGTGTGTTGTCGATGAAGAATTGGAGTTGTTGGATTCTTTGACCTGCTTCTTCTTGGCAGCTTTTCGCCTTTTAGGACCTGACGGCATGATTGATTGGTCGATTAAAACAGAAATGTGGAGGAAACAAGGGGGGTTGTTGGTTATTGTTGTCGTCGTCTCTTCTTCGTCTCTCTAAATCGTCAGTAGGGCCTTCATTACCCGCTCCTCTGGTTTACCTGTAGTCTTCTTCTTCCCTCTGTGTGTGTGTGTGTGTGTGTGTGTGTGTGGTTTTGGGGGGGGGGGGTTTGAAGCAGAGAAATTCAAATAATAGTGACACTAGAAGTGTAGCAGGGCAGGTTGCAGATAATAGATGATGGGGGGCTCTAACGAAATTCAATTTGTGGGCATCATTTTTGTGGGCCGTGGCCTAGGTGGATTGGATTTGGATTATTCAAATATTCATTTTCTTCGACAATAATTTTGAAAATGATGCATAGTTAGCGTTTGATTGCGGCCGGTTTGATTAATGCTTTCGAAATCGGTAAATGCAATCGAACTGTGAATTATTAACGAAAATGCTACATCGTAACTCGTTTTGATAGATATCGAAAAAATAACATTTTTACATTTGGTTTTTAATCATTGGGACCTTTTTGAATCAAGAATTGACGAAAATGATTTATTTAGCTTCAAAATGCTCCCAGCTTTCTTGATACAATGGTTCAATACATAGACATTACGACAATGAAGAACCGTCGAGTGGAGAGAGGGGAACGTCAGAACGTGAAAGACCCAAAGAAAAGGAAGAGTTTCTGAAAGACAGAAAACATTTATTATGTGTCAGTAATTTGTCATACAAAATGATTGTATCGACTTTTAGATGTTTCTTTGGTTTCATGGAAGAAGTTGATCGGAATCAAGAATTCAAATTTATTAATCAAGACAATGAACACATATAAGTGCACTCATAGGGGAACATGGAAGGAGGCAAACAAGAAGCAACCCAAGATGTCCAAGAAGAGTTTAATGTAATATAGATTGATATAATGCATTGTTATAGAAGATATTTGTTGATTATTTTGTGAAAGAATTTTTTGGGCCAATCAAAAGTGGAATTTGTGCTTGTGGAAATTAATTAAGATAGTGAATGAGGGGCACGTAAAACCATGGCCATCTAGCATACACATATGCCATCGGATGTAGCATTATGCCCTAAGACTATAACATCTCTAGGTTTAGTGTAGGTTTACGTGCGACATGGCTTATGTTTCTTTAGAAATTAACACAACAAACTCATGTTCTAATGCAAGCCCATTAACATGTAGTGCAAACACCTGTTCAAGAACAAAGTGAATGTTTAAAGGATATGAACAAGATTCTATAGAATCGCGCATTGTCTTGTGCTTAACTTGGTGTAGCCTCACATGCAATAGCCCCTAAGATGAAGTGAATTATACAAAGGCAAAGTGTAGCTTTGCTTTTTGGCAACATTGTGGGGTATTTATTATTTTCTTCGAAGGTTCAAGGAAGAGTAGAGAAATACATCAAAAGACTCGCTAGAGATATATCATTGCTTTGGAAAAGCCCAAATGAATAAGAGAGATCATGAAGGAAGCAAAGATATCCTTATTATCAAAAATTCCTCTACCAATAATGTTGGTCATGGTGAGGTAATGACTAACATAGAAAATGCCTGTAGAAGGGGGTGAATACCAACACAACAATTTTACACTTTTTAGTTAAGTATGCTTTATAAAAACAAAGAATTACAAATTTGATGCAGATTTGTTGCTGAAACTAGGATGGAAAATCTAATTCTAAACAATCTGGTGATAAATTAGCTCACAAGGAGATATTGAAAGAACAGAAAAAGATGATTTACAACATTGACAAGGGTCGCCTTTTATAGCCACCAATGCATTAAATATTGTGTGCTAACTTTAGCACACATCTTCATTTGATTTGTTGATCAATCTGTGTTTGTACTCTTCGTTTCAGCCTTTGGATATCTGAAAAGATGTGATATAGATGTCGATTGCCCCAATTCATGCTTTTGTATGCAAAATTAATAGTAAAAGAAGTATGATACTATTAAAACAATTAATTATGACTTACTTGGTTGACATGTAGAGCATGTTCCCATACTAGGACGTGGGTCGGTGGGATTTAGTGAGCCAAACTTGCAGGTTAAGTTGCACCCCATATCGACTTGCCAAAACAATATTTGTCAAACTGTCTGACTTATCCAATACTAGTCTTCAATCCGCTTGATGACAGTCCTTTCCACTTTTGCATCGATCTAACTTCACTTCAACTATTCTTAGATTTGTTGAAGACATTTTGCTTAGACCAATGGTCGTCCACAGGGATCGTAGTAAAAGTTTAAAAGAAAGTAAAGTTAAGGAAATGATTTCAGAGGGCGAATTCGAAGATTTTGATTTGAACATAGTTAACACAACTAAAAACAGGAGATAACAGATAATAAAAGCAAGCTAGGGTGTATGACTTTTTTGGGTGAGATGTAAATACTATTTCCAGTCGACCAATGCTGTCAAAATGCTACAGCATGAAACCATGCTGACAGATTGCTGCAACATTCAATCAGTGACAATTATTTTTACCAATTACTTTGAAGGTATTCCTCTCGAACTTCACCAATGCACTGATATTATACCTTTCAACCCATATCTCTATGAGGTATCCAGACTAGTGAAAGGGACAAATAGTGTCTTCAAAATATATGGATAAACAAATCTCTTTGTTAAAAATCACTCTCTCGAGTGGATTCCCATATCATTCAACGTGTTCTGAATGGCTCATCTCTGAGTCCATTCCACTTTAACACTTCAGAGTGATCAACCCGTCGAGAATTAACAATTTAGAAAATACAGACAACAAATCTCTTTGTTAGCAACTCTCTCAAGTCTACTTCTCATATCATCCAAATTGACGTGCAATCAATGGCTCAGCTTAGAATCCACGGCACTTTAACACTTTCAAAGTGATCAACTCGTCAGAAAGTGTCATTGGTTTTATAAAACTTGAAATGAAAAAGTAAAACATCGTTGTTACATGAAAGGGTCGACTATATTTAATTTACAAACTCATCATTTTCGTCATACACCCGAGCTAATAAAATTAGTTACTCATGACAAAAAGTAAATGACAAGAAATAATAAGTGCGATAAATAAAGACATAAAATAAATACGGAAAGTAAATGATGGAATATAAATGACGGAATATAAAAGATGCGGAAAGCATAATAAATAAATGACATAAATAAAATGCGAGTAAGCGTAAATAAATTAACGACGGAATATAAAATGCGATAATATAAAAAAAGCGATTAAAGAAACTCGAAATGTAACCAAAAGATTAATAATATTGAGAAACTAAACTTATTCTCCAAGTAGTATGGAAAACTACTTGAGAGAAAAGCAAGGGAACAATGAAGTAAGAAGTGAGGTGTGTGGAATACTCAACCCAACATCCCTTTTTATACTAGGGATTAGATGGGGGCAAAATGGACATTTCACACCTACTTAGTTCAAAAGAAACTAGAAAGTACATTAAAGCAAACTAATATTTAAAAGGTAACTAAATTAGTCTTAACAAACTCCAGCTAATCTGAACATAAAACATTTGTTCCACTTTAGAAGCCTTTCAAAGGTCTTCCCATTGTCTTGTCGGTCAACTCCAAGTCTCATTCATCTCTTCTTCTACCATCAGGTCATGTTACCATATTCCCACAACATCGACTTGCTCCAATCTGTCCAAAATAAGCTCAATTTAGACCAAAATCCACTAAAAACAGGTTCATCATTTACTTCAGCATAAAAATAGAGAAAAGGGATAAAATGACTTAAATTTGAGATATGAATAGAAATAACCTATATAAAAGAGAATAAAAAGGTACTTTACGTACTAAATACTTAGTACGTATCACGGGTCCTCTAAGGCATTTCAAATCCTTGATGATTTTTGGATCTTGATGCCTTTCGGATTTCATTCTTATACAAATCAACATCTAATAAAATTTGATCCTTATTTTGTATTTTGGATTATAGACATAAATCCAAAAAGCGTTTTAAGTGCTTATCGGATGTATTTGTATAATCATCAAATCAAATTGTTGAAACCAACAATCTCCCCCTATTTGTTGATAATACAAATAGATAGTTAAGACAAATTCATGTAGAAAGAAAATGGTGCTAAAACTCATAGAAGTTTAAAACTCTTGGACTCATAATGTCAATGAATTGTTTTTTTTTTCTTCTGTTTTTGGGATTCTTTTTGTTTACTTTTCTATTTTTCGATCTTCTTGTTTTTGTAGGCTTATTCTTCTTTTTCTTTCTTTTCTTCTTCTTTTTCTTTCTTTTCTTCTTCTTTTTGGATGACTATTACATGTGCAACAAAAGATAAATTGTAAAAAGTTAAATATTGAAACATCCAAGATTTAATTATCTAGGGATAATTTAAAGACATAATGAAAATTACAAAAGATGGGTATTTTCATTAGAGGAGAGAACGATCAAGTGCTTCCTAAATCTTTCATGCAACCTTAAATTTCTTTAGAAATAATAATTTGCTTTGTATCCTTAGGAGGTTGCAATATGAGGGAATCCAACTCAGCTAGTTGGACTTTCTCAGTACTTATTCCTTTGTTGCTTTCTTGGATTTTTCATCAGCCAATTCTTCTTTCGGATTCATCTTGGTTTTTCACTTATCCATTGATTTTGGATTTCAAAGATCTCTAGTCAGATCTTCTTTCTTAGGATGAGCTTCATCAGTTGGTTTCTCCCCCCCAACTAAATGTTCCCCCTCAAAAGTTGCTTTATATTTCCTCCCTTCATCCAGGCTACTAGCATCATTACCATTTGACATCTCCCTCTAAGTAGCTTCTGATGTAGCCTTAAGAACTACATCAAGTTTATGAATTAATACCTTGACTGCGTTTTGCATCTAACCATGTTGTGTATCTAGTCGAATCATCAAGCTCGATCTTCACCAATTATTATGATAGGATCAGGTTGATATTGAATCGGATGGAGTTGACGTTAGACCACATAATGCATTATTTGAGATTGAGTATTAATCTTTGAGTGTAGTTTTTCCAAGGAAGTGAAAAACAGTGAATAAGATTAGTCGTCAATTCTTCTTGGAGGTTAACAGATTCTCCAATGATATTGCCTGCCTTATCCTGGGCATTCTTAACATCATCCAATTAACTTTTCAAGGATTGGAGTAGCATCAGGTGAATATTTGATGGACTGTTAGATGAAGTAGAGGGCAAAATAGGGC